CCCTTCCTGTCACTTTTTATTTCACTATTTCATTTGAAAAAAAAAAAATTCCTTGAAGCCTGCCTATGAAACAAAGTCTATGCTAGGCACTGAAGACACAATGCTAAATGAGACGTGAAGTCTGCACTTCCACAGAGAAGATATACAAGCACATAGGAAGTTGCAATACAATGTACAAATGTTATTCTTAAAATATTATGTTCTACAAAGAGCATCTAACCCAGTTGAGGAATGAGTGGTCTAAGGAACCAAAGAAGGCCTGCTGAAAGAGGCGGCATTGAACAAGTCTCAAAGTGTGAGTTATCCCAACCCTCATTTCTTCAGCAAAATGAATGTGGACCTCTATCTAATACCCTGAATTTTGTATGCTTGCATTTAACTAGAAGTTTGTCTTCATAGTTGTCTCCCCAGAAATCCATAGAAAGAAAGTTTTGTTTATCATCATTAATCTCCCTGTGACTGTGTAGCTAGTAGTTGTAAGCATTTGGTAAGTGTTCAGAGAGCCAAGTGGCCTGTACTGTACTTGGTAGCTCTGCCATGGGGAAAAGACACCAATTCTTGTGGAATTCAATGATGTGCACTGGCACATAGCTCTACAGTTGTTTCTGAAGTGCTCTGATGCTCTTCCCGTCCTGCAGGGCAGGCTTTCACTTTTTGTTCCTACCACGGAATGCAACATCTGAACCATCCAAAGGCTTCACTGATCACAAAGCAGCGCCTCCTGCCTCTCCATTCCCTGGAGGATTCATCCACCATGGCTACCTGAGCAGGGGGGATGGGAGCGAAGAAGACCACATGGCCACACTGTCCTGTGTCAGGAGCTGCAGTCGTCAGACCTGTGGAACGACTGACTGTGTGACTACGCTTGCCTCCCTCCAGCTCTGGAAAAAATGACAGGAGCGTCAAAACCAGCTTGAAACCTGAACATCGTGGCTTGACTTTTTCTAAACTGGTATCCGTAGGTAGGTAAGAATGTTCTGGTTCCAATTTCATACATTTCTAACTTGGACCAGAATGAGACAGTGGAAATTCGTAATGCCGCAGTGTTTCCCAGTGTATCAGACACATTCTACCCAGAAGTCTGCAAGATGATTCCTAACGGTGAATCCATTTTAGTTAAGAATTGTTGTAGTAATCTATTCTTTGAACCAGATATTTCTTTACCTTTCATTTAGAACAAGTAAAACTTTGTTGATTTCAATGCATAGCTATGCCAGTAATAGAATAGGAACCGTAGGAGAATTAAAGACAGGAAGCACTATCATTTTCCAGTCCTCAAGGTTCATGTCGAACAGTGAAATTGTGGCAGCAGAGAGTGCCTGAGCTGGAAGAAACTCTGGAGACCATGTAATTCAATTTTCTACTTTATCCACTTATATACTCAACAAATATTGACTGCATACTTACTGTGTGTAAGACTGTAGGCAGAACTGCAGTGAATCAGAGAGACAGTCCAGGCAGAAAGACGGGCATTAAGTATACAGCCAATAAAAGAATTATAATTGAGTCAGTTTTATGAAGGTGTACAGCATGAACAAAACCATGAACAGCAGGGTGATGTTTGAATGAAATCTTAAAGGATCAGGAGCAATGAACCAGGCCAAGCAGGGCATGGAGTTAGTGTAGGAAACAGGTGATGAGAAGAGGGTAGGGGAGAGCGGAGGGTGTGGGTGACACAGGGCCCCCAGAGGTCTGTGTGGAGCCCCAGAGTAACTGCTTGCATAATTGCAATCAGGATTGATCCAGACACAGAGGCAATGTGACCTGGCCATAAGACTGTCCATAGGCCCAGGCCTCAACCGCTGACTTCTGGGTTGACACAGTTGCCCAGGCTTGTGGATTGCTCTGTGTTCTGGCCTGTTCAGGTGCTGGGAACCTTACAGAGTATGAAGCCAATCCCTGGCCCTACTCCACAGAGCGGGTGTCCACACAAGAAAGAAACAGGCAGTGAACAAACACAGATGCTGGCAGGAGAATGGCAGCCCAGAGAAAAACAAAGCAGGGAGGAAAATGTGTTGGGCAGGGTGATGTGAAGGAGCTAGAGCTGGTCAGACCTCTGGACCTCACTGAGGAACACTCACCACACTCGGCGCTCTTCACTGGGGCTCGGGCTACTTCCACTCTACCATGAGCTGAGAGTTTGCTTCATTTGCCCTAATGCACACTAACAGATGTGGCATTTTCACAACACAGTTAGCCTCCTAGAAAAGAATCTGACCAGACAGCCTCTTTCTACAAACCCTAAATGCATTTGGGCCTTATACCTCACATGAGCATTCGGAATAGTGAAGTCATTTCCCAAAGGCGATCGTGTCTCATGCTAATAAAGTCCAGAGTGGAACGAGTACATCACAGGGTTTCATCCCTGAAAAGGCCCCAGTGACCTTTCCAAGCCACAGTGTCCCCTCCTTGGACACAAACACACTAGCTGTCCTCTCCCTCTTCAGTACTCTTTATTCAAACATACCAAACTGCACTTGTTCTCCTGGAGTCTGAAAATACCTTATTTGTGGAGAACACCAACAAGTAGACTTGGTTCTTTGTTCAGTGATGACATGTAAATTCCTGTGCAGTATTACTGCTGACTGAGCCACCTTTCAACCATTCTAGGTATCTAAAAGTATTTGGAAAACCACAAAGAAAAAAATCTCACAAAATGATTGAATTCAATCACCCCAAAACATTAGGGGGCAAAGAGGGGCTTGGGGGCACCATCTCCTCACTGGTCCACAGCAAGTTAGGGAGGAGGTTCTGGGTTCCCTGGATTCTAGCCTTCCCAAATGTTCCTCAGGAAAAAGGGCTATCTGGCTGCTGCTAACCTGTGGGCCCACCAGTGAGTCCCAGGTGAGAGTGTGACATGAAGACAGTCCCTCCCGCACACCAGCCCTCACCACCTGCTCTGTACATCTGCTGGTAGAGAGGACTCCAACAGAAGCAAGGCATGGGACCATAAGAGTCAGAGAGATAGCTCAGTTGCATAAGCACCTGCCTGGCAAGCGTAAGGTTCTGAGTTCAATCCCTGGTACTGAAAAAAAAAAAAAAAAAAGACATAGGGCCATAGTAGGCTGATAGGGAAGACAGAAAGGGGTAACTTTGTCATACAAGATCCATCAAAAAAGATGATTCAGGGCTGGAGAGATAGCTCAGCGGTCTAAGTGCCTGCCTGGCAAGCACAAGGTCCCAACTTCAATCCTTGGTACCTCATGCTATGCTTGCCCTGGAACCCCAGGCGTGCCATGCCTGCCCCAAAACCAAGCGTAGTGGCTCACACCTGTAATCCCAGCACTGAGACTGAGACAGGAGGATCACTATGAGTTTGAACCACATAGTGAGACCCTATACCAAATTAATTTATTAATTAATAACTTTTTTAAAAAAAGAAAGATGGTTCCTCGTGAATGCAAGGTCCATATGAATCATGAACTGAAAAGAACTAGATGTCGGGACAGCAATGGACAGGTGCCGAGGGCACCATCCACACCGGCTTTGTGGAAGCCCTACCCATTCATTCCACAGGACACCAAGTCACAGGGGTTCCTGTGCACAGCACTGAGGACAAAACTAGCCAGCTGCTCAGGACACACTGTCAGAAAGCGCTGGTGTCCACTTGCCAGGCACCAGGAGCAGCGAGGCAGAGCCCCTTTAATGAATAATTAATTAAAGGGATGACTACTCAAATGAGGGTTTTAGATATGGCAGAGGTGGCCTCAGAGCTGCGTTTTGGCTTTTATCTGGCCTCTCTCAACATTTCTAAATGTGCAGCATAGTTTCAGCTTGGTTACTTGTGGTTTTCTTGGCTTGGGTATCTGTCAAAGATGTTCCTGGTAAATCATCCCAAGTAGTTAACCAGTTGACTTATATATCCTATTTGATGTCATATGGTTCTTACTCATGGCACCCAATAAAATTATAGTCTGTTGTTATGGAAAAGACATCCAGCAAAAAAAAGAATGTTCCATTAAATTCAAAATCCATTAAAGCTAAGTTTACAATGGGCATAACTAACAGTTATCATACCTTCATATAGACAAGAGTCACATATATAGTGCCTAAGTCTCAGCAACATTTTTTGTATCCCAGAAATCAGTCATTTTTCTTCCACAAATAATATGAGGTATGATCACAATATATGGTGAATCTTTACATTTTAAAAAAATTATTACAGTAAATTGGTATATTACCATTGACCCACACGGACAAAGTACTCCCTTTGACTTTGAACACTTATCCCTCCATGCTTGATGCTTTCGGCAACAGTTCTGGAAGTCCTCATTTGTGAGTGTCTTTATGAGCTGTGATCAAAAGTATAATGAATGCTGTCGCCCCCACCCACTCAACTGAAAGGTCCGCGAATGTGTCGCTGTGCATCTTCCTTGCCTCCTTCAGTGAACCTGGCACCGTGTATCTCTGGGTTTTCCCCCAAGTGATAAATGCAGTGGAGGCTGCTCACTCGAAGCCTTCCTAAAAATTCAGGGAATACTCTTCTTAGTATTGTTTCCAGTAAAACTCCCCTAACCTCCAAAAACAGGACAATGAATAGCAAATGTTTTAAACTGCTTCAGGACATTGAGGCAGCCAGACCAATACAACTAGAGACATTCATGACAGAGGTCTTCCAGAACGGCTTCTGCAAGCATTGAAAATAAGTGAATAAGTGAATACATGTATGTGAAGCAAGGGAGATTATTTTGAAGGAAATCCATGGCAATGACCTTTCACCATAAATTTAAATATTCAACATATTTTTCTATCACAGCTCATATGTGAGTTCATTGAGCTTGCACATCTTCAATTTATAGATTTCTACAATGTCTTTGCAAATAACAAAATACCAAGGTGAAAATATTCTCTGAAAACATACAAATTTCTAACAATTTATCTCCAAATTTTATTCCATTAAATCCCTTCCATCAGTAATATTTATAAAACTTTCAAAACTAAATTTGTGGTTATCAGTTGTCTTCTAGTCGTTCTCATTGTATTTCAAAATCACCATCAAATCAGTGTAGCTGGCTTCCTAAAAGTGCTTTAATCCAGGACAGAAGAATATCCAGTTCACTGATGGCTTTATAAATTCCTTTGTATCCAATCTGCAGATAAAACAGAAGTGTAAAAGCAGGAATTTTTCATATTTTAAAACACAAAGTATTATAAACAAAGATTTGGCCTTCTTACCCTATAAAATGTTCTTTTCATCCTGGTAATAGCTTTCATCTGTTCTCCTGATGAAACACAGGACATCTAAGGAATCAAGAGTAAGTACAAATAAAAGTTTTGTGTTTGCAGAACATGTTTTCTACTGTATCTTCAAAATTACGTGTTTATATATGAAAATGTAAATATTAAATTATTATTAACCTTTCAAAATTGTTAAAAATGTTCTTCCATACATTCAACAAATATTTACTGAGCAGGTATTAACAGATATGCCCTGGAAAATAAATATTGTGTGGTCCTGTCTTACAGAGCTTATGGTTTTCTGCGGAAAGAAGATGGTAAATAAGTAAAGAAAGAAAGAAAAACCTCCAAATTACAGTAAAAGTTATGTTTTTGATATACAAGACTCTATGATACAGATTGATGATGACAAAAATAGTTGAGGTAAGTCACGGGGGCGGGGCATGCTCTGGATGGGCATATACTGCCCTACAGTAGGCAGCTTCCCCCACACCCCTCCTTTGCACCATTTCCGCCTTGGAGCCAGCCAATCAGGGACAGAGCCCACTGAGACTGTGAGCCAACCAAATCTCTCTCCTCCTCTGAAATTTTTCTCCCAGTTCAGGTGAAGTGAGCAACCCAGGGATTGAAATTAAGATCTGAAGGTGGAAAGAAGCCCGCGATATGAGGAAGCAAGAAGAAAAAGATAGAGAAGTAAACACAAGAGACAGCAATGCAGGCAGAGCAGAAGGGGTTGCCAAGCCCTGCTGCAGGGGAGAGCTTATTGCTCTCCAGAGAATGGAGGACAGATAGCGTGATGGAACAATTATGCAAGAGAAGTGTGAAGCATAGGGGATGGATAGTAACAAAAATTTACTTTTTGAAGACTCACATCAGCTGTCATGCACGGTGCACAGTACGATGCCCAGTATAGACAGTCAGGGGAGAGCACCAGGGAATTCACAGGCGTTTTTCTAGCAGCAGGCCGATAACTGGAGAAGCTAGCTCATAGCCTGGCCAGAAAGCTGCCTGTCCCTATGGTGCAGGTAAACGTTCAAACCCTATCTGAGCACAGAAGTCACTTACTTAGGAATCGATTAGGAGCAAGTACTATCCTCTATTCCGCCTCAAATTTCTATAAGGTAAAAAAAAAAAAAAAAAAGGAAAGAGGAGAAAAAAGTAGAAACCCTTAATTTATTTACTTACTTTTCATTCATAAAAGGGTAGCACCGCAATAGACGGGAGATGCTTTATGAGCTCATTGTTTTCAATTTGCAAAGGGAAGCCAAAGCACAGGTAAGTTAGTTACTAACTCAAGGGTTCACAAGAGATCCCACACTAATGACATAATAGCGTCCGCCCTATCAAAAAGATAACACTAAAACTCATTGAATGGAAGTAGATACATGACAACATTTATTAAAATGAATAACATATGATCAAAATCGATCAAAAGATCTCTTTAATAGTCTTAATGGTGGTGGTGGACTCCACCTTGTATTAAGATCCTGTATAGGAAAACAGATTCTTACGAGAACGGTCGTGATTAGGCCCAGAAGCACTGTGCGCTCAAGTTCTAGAAACATGAACTGCTCAAGGGAGGGCCATATGTGGGATTCACGAGCACAGGCTTAGACCTTCCTGTGCTAAGAGCCCTGAGATAAGAACGTGCTTGCACCAAACTACACAGCACAGGACCGCCCCCTCGTAAGGATGAAGTTGTACATGCAGTCTCCGTAAAAGGTTACCTCCACGCTGCACGCATGTAAGCCTCTGCTTTTAACAGTAACAGCATCGCTCTTCATGTTCCTACAGTCATTGAAGCGGGGGAGGCCAAAGAAGCAATTCTGGACACTGCAGAGGTTGAACAGCACCATCAATTTTGAGAAGTGCCAGGAGACTGCCTACACTGCTGTCATTACCCTCTAGGAAAAAGTCAGGGTTCGTTGACAGAAAAACAAACAGACTAGTGTTGCCCTTCGACTTACACCCTGGCTTACAGGATTCCTTCTGGTGCCTGGAGCTCCACTTGCTGCAAACAATCTTTCATAAAAATCTGACCCAGAAGGTTCTCATTTTCTTAATTGTAAATAATGTCCACAGATCCAGCAGCATGGCTAGATTTTGCTCTCATGCAAATCTAGCAAAGTGCTTTGCTTGGAAGGAGGAATTTTGCAAAGAATGATTTCCTTTTCTGAGGTTTTTGTGTATAGTTGCAGTTGCCGAAATGAAACTAGATGAGGAAAGAATGAGCAGATTTATTGTAAGAATGGCTAGACCATTTAACCAGCTCAACTGGAACGGACATGATTTAGAGCGGCACTAGAAAAATTAGAGACCCCCTCAAAGAAAAGCGAGAGACGGCCATGCAGCAAGACACGTGCAGAGAGCAGCCTAATCGCTCATCACGAGGTCAACACATATTCACTGTTTCCTGAAAGCGTGGCCGGCATGCAGTAGTGCTCCTGCCGCACAGCCCTGAAATTTATTTATAAAAGTGCTACGTAATAAAAATCGCTTAGGACACACGTGATGAGTCACAATCTCCGGAGAAACACCGAGTGATGCACAATGATGGCACCACGTGACAAATACAGTGATCAAGACAAAAACACAGCCTCCCTGGGAGAGAGAAGAGAGGCCGCGGCCTGTGGAATCCAGAGAAAACAAGAGCATCCGGACTTAGAGGGAGAGGGGAGAAATGAAAAGGCGGCAAGGTGCCCCAAGGCTGGAGACAGTGGGGGTGATGGGAATGCATTTCCGATCTCAGCTGAAATCCCCAGATTGATTTATCTACAGTTCAGCCCCACCCTGCAGCCTGAGGCAGCACGTCCTCCTGGCGGGTGCCCTGGCAGCCCCTTGCCACAGCCTGAGACCGCAACAGCCGAGGCTGCGAGCCTTTTTAGACCTCTGTGAGACCAGCGAGCTGAACTGTGGGTTTCTGTGGACTGCAAGACTGCGAAGTAGCACTCACAAATACAAATAATAAATAATAAATGTCAGCTGACTCAGTTAGCAAGCGAAATGTAATCAGTAGCCTCCTGCTTCAGCGTTCACAGCTTCCTGGCTTGATAAAAATGTGAAACATATCCTAGGCATTAGTGAGCATTAAAATTTTGTTTAAAACAACCTGATATTATTTATTCATTTTTTATTAATTTTATTGAGAAACAAATAGCAATGAGACAGTTTCAAAATCGATTAGTAACATAGTTTCAATAATTAATACATTGCATATTGTTGTCTTCCTAGTGGTTATTCATAGTACAAGATGCAGAACTGATATCCTGCCCAAATTACTATTAGTAAAAATCTTTCTTCTCACTGAATTAAGAGAAAGTAGCTGTATATCTATCCTAACTACTATATATAGACAGATACAAAATGGTCCTTCATTTGTATCCCCTTTTTTTGTTTAGTTTTGACAGAGATAGGTATTCCATTGCCATTTAAATATTGTAGGTGCGTGAATTCAGCAAAATAATCCAACATAGTCCAGGAGTCCATAATAGTAGTGGGTTGTCCATAGGACTGGTAATGTCAGAAGTTGTTGACTTGAGCCTTTCACAGCTCAGCACATTAATATGGCTTTACTTTTTCTACCTTGTTTTTATACTTTTCTGCCTGATGGTCAAGACCAAGGTAAAGCAAGACCTATATAACAAGAAGTGTAACATTGGCATCTGACAAGGTTAGTCAAATCTCCTTGGGATTTACCCTGAAATCCTGTACCACAGTAAAACAACCTGATTGATACATCAGATAATCCTTAGCTTGGCCATGATATCTTCATGGCTTTGGGGTGGGGATCTTATTATCATATATTATATCACATTATAAGCATATAGCTGTTGGGAGAATGAAAAACTATACGTATTAGTTCCTATTTTTAAGAACCTCATCTTACAATTTCAGATAAATGCAAACCACTCAGGGTGTGTGTGTGTGTGTGTGTGTGTGTGTGTGTGTGTGTGTGTGTGTAGAGTTTATTAGCTGACCCTAATAGTTAAGATAATTCCTACTCTACAGTCTTGGTTTCCTGAAACTTTTTCCCCCAAAATACAAATGATGAATAAAGGTTTAAGATGAAATCAATGTGATTGTCTTGTATGACTAGAGGCATAGAGCTTAAAGCAATATTCTTTGTTGAATTTTAGGTAAATATTCAGGTAAAGTCCCATAATTATTACCCAAAATAACAACAAAAAAAAAAACCATGTTGAGATATCCTATTTTGAAATTGGACTAAGTAAATCAATGTCAGTTTAGTGAAGGGACAGGTTTTAGGACAATAGAAAACCAGAGGCCAGTAAAGTTGACAAGAAACTCAAAAAAGAAAATAAGAAAAAAGGAGCAGATTTCAAGGAAAGCATGACCATATTTAAACCAAATTTTTGTGAAAGGAGAAAAAGCAAACTGTTAAAAAAAAAAAAAGAAAAAAAGAAAAAGCAAACTGTTGATCAGGTGTCTCTTAGCAAACCTGAACTCACAAGCAGATGCTTAATTTTACCAAACAAATGAAATATTACTAACAGCAAAGTAAATAAGTAAGAAGGGTTTCTACAACATTATCAAATTTTTATATTCTGCATAACTGCAAGAATAACTGGATCAGGCTGGTGAGATAGCTCAGCAGACTAAGCACCTGCTTTGGCAAGTTCAGAGACCAGGGTTCGATCCCTGGTCCTGCATGCTGTACCAGCCCTGCCCCTAGAGCGTGCTGAGCTGGTGACAGAGTCAAAGCATGGTGATGCGTGCCTATAATCCCAGCTCTGGGGAGGCTGAAAACAGGAAGATCACTACAAGTTCAAGCTGTGTAGTGAGATCCTGTACCAAATACATAAATGAAAGAAAAAAAAAGAATCACCTGATCTAAATAGACATAGATGATAATCTCAATTACTTAGAATAATCTTATACTTTCACAAAACATTTCTTCACATGCCACCTATACAGACAAGAATTGGAATTTTTTAAAACCCTAATTATAAACAATCTAGGGATAACTGTGTCATAGATTTTTTTTTAAATTTCCATTGTCGGTGTGATCAACATTAATATTATTTTATATAATGAAACATGTG